GTTAATCATTACCACATTACACTTTGATTGCTTGATTGAACAGCCAACCAGTGGTCCAGACACATAGCACATTAAGCTTTTATTATATAAGATATTACACTGTGAAAACTCTTCCCTTATGCAAGCCCATTGCATATTGCACAGACCCTGAGCTAATCACTTCAGAGATAATCATGTTTTAACCTGGAGAAAAGATTAGAAATAAAAGCAGTGATTATGCATGTGAACCATTGAGAATCTCTCATATTTTAAATGACATGGAAGCCTGCTAAGTGACCTGATTTTTCAGTCTAATGTTATCAGTGATGTTGGGGTTCTGAGTGAGGGGAATTGGAGAATTCCTAGCATTCATTTTCTCACAGGAAAGGACAACATCGTTAATGTGTAATGCACACATTCTCCCATCAGGCACAGGATTCAGAAAGATATTCTCTTGCTAAGCTTGTCATTAAAGTTAATTGATGGAATATTTGATGGGGCAAATGTATTTATTTTATTAAATTTCAGTTCATCACTATTTTCTTTGATGGGTGCTGTTTTGGGTGATTTTACAAAGAATTTCTCAGAAAATCCTGGGCCTCCACTGCCCATGTGGATTGGCTACAGCAGCCTCAGGGACTGGAGCAGTTTCTGGTACCAAATGGGAGCGCTGCTGGGAAACTACCCATAAATGTGGATGTGCCTGGTGAGGGCAAGAAGCTGGACTTGATTTGAGTCACAGGACAGAAATGTGCCTGATGCTCATGGACGGAGAGTTACTGGACATGTGGGTTTAAAACCTCCTCTAGTGAAGGCCTAGAAGAAAGTGCAGGGCATGATAGAGACAGCTCATATCATCATAGGAAATACCTGAATAATGATGAGCAGGAGTTGATTGAAGAAGAAAGGTTAAAAATCATGCAGGCAGAGATCATGAGAAATAAGGAATCTGTCACTGCAAACTGGTGGGAAGGGGACCCCTGTTTCCTAAATGCACATTCTCAGTGTCGCTGTTCTAGAAGGTGACACCTTCCCAGGCCCAAGGTATTCCCACTTGGACACCTTTGGGTTGATTATCCACACGATCTCACCATGAATTCCAGAAGTTTCATAATTCATTGGGACCCCATTTATGAAATCTCTCAACACTCACTGGGAAGAATGCACATTCCTCACTGGAGGAGCCAAGGAGACTGTGTGTCTGTATGAGGAGCCTTCATTCCATTAGACCAGGGCTCCTGTATCAGTCCATCATCTTCATTGTAATCATCATCATCTTCATCATCACCACCACAATTTGCTTACTTATAATCATTCTTCTCATTTTCTATGGACATGGTGGTTGTGTACACACAATGACTTCTTATAAGTAAATAAAGCAGGCGCCTCCTCTTCAGATACCATTAGGGATTGAGACCCCAATGGCCCAACTGTAAGTTGACACAGGCCTTTGAAAAAGCTGATGACTGATTGGTGGGAAAGGACAGATTCCCACCAAGATATGGACCAAGATTCCTTTCCAATTCTATCACCACCACCATCATCATTGTCAACATCATCATCACCATAATTTGCTTACTTCTAATCATTCTTCTCATTTTCTTTACATGTGATTTTAGCACAGATATAAGGACTTTATCTTTGCAATTTTTGCTCATTTTGTATAGTTCTATATAAAATGCGGGGCCATAGTCTATTTTCTTTTTCATTTGACTTCTGACAACTGATAGCTCATTGCTGCCTCTTCTCCATCTGCCCCATACATGGGAAATCAGATAAGAAATCATAGATTTCATTCTCTTTTATTACAAAGTTATTTATTAAAAAGTATTTTCCTCCAATTCTGATGACATATCAAATTAAACAAGGAGTGAGGTTACAAAGCAGTAATTGATCTGATCTGGTCCTACAGAGGGTGATAGAGACCTCATTAGCTCTTTCGTACATTCTACTAAATAGTGGAAAACAAATTCAATTCATTCACTTCACAAAAGGTAAACATAACTGATATACTTCAACCAAAAATCTTTTATCAAGCTTGTCTTCAAATTTGTTAAAAAGTCAGCGAATATAAAATGATATTGACTTAAAAGAGCATCCAAGCAATGCTTTTGGTTTTCTTGTTTTTGCAAAATTAGTCAAATCTGCACGGCTCACGGACACCCCCTGAGGTTCCTGCGTGCTGCCAGCCTCCCCTGTGTGGTGACTGAGGTGGAGAGAGCAGGAGAAACACCGCTCTGATCCCAGAGCTCAAGGAAGGAAGGGTTTCTGACAGGCTTCTAAGTTCTGAGACCTTCACATCAACACACAGATACAGACCTTGAACAACGGCTTTTGGAAATGCACACCCACCAGGGACCCTGTAGAGGTGAACACTGGGGGACAAGCAGCCAGTCTTTTCTCAAGTCTCTTGATAAACGACAAACCTCCGCCAGTGCATCTTCACGTTGAGGAGAAGCACAGCTGATCTGACTGCATCTGCCTTCCCTTCTTTTCGGATCTTCACCTTGGAGACCGGCTGGGATTCCTTCAGGGCAGGTAATTAATGCATCTGCATGAGGCCCTGTCAGCTTCGTTGCCGTTGGAGAACACATGGAAGAGGGTGCCCAGGCCTCTCCCCCCACCACCAGTGAGCGGCCTTGGGTGGCCCCTCCAGCAGAAGCAGCGATGGTCTTGAGAGGTTCAAGGGCACTGTCTTCCTTGGTGAGGACGCTGCCTGCGGTTCCCAAATACTAACCACATTTACTCCCCCCCAACGCTGCCCTCTGGATGCTGCTCTGCACAGCGTCACCAGCGGGTTGGGTCCCGCACTGAGAACTGTCCTTGGCGGCCATTGTTTGCAGAAGGACCTCCAGGCACTGCCTATGGCTTCCAGGAGTCCACGCGCTGGGAAAGTCTGGCTGAGAAAAGAGCGGGTGCACAGGTGCTGTGCCAGGGCCTGGAGGGCCGCCACGCCCAGGGGCTCCGCCTCCAGCGGGGACAGGAGACTGGAGACCCCCTCGGGCTCGCAGTGCACGGTGTCCATCTTTCCAACAAAGGCTCCCAAAGTGGACCCTGGAACACACGCCCCCTGCAGCGCTGCTCAAAAGACGGTTTCTCAGACCCCTTCCTGGAAGGGGTTGGTGGCTGAGGGCAGCCTGTGTTTCCTGGGAGAGGCAGAGGGGAGACAGCAGTTGCCCGCCCTCGCCAGGGGCTCTCCATGCTCCTCGCTCTTGTCCCTGGAAAGCTCTTCCTCCCACGCGGGTCCAAGGCATCTGCGCTGAGCTCATGCTGACAGGGACCTGCGGCGGGTCTGCTGCGCCCTCAGCAGAGCTGGGCCTCTGGGCTCCTGGGGAGCGGGCGGAAGTCAGTCCCAGATGCACATTTTCCTCCTGACCCTTCTCTCAGGAGGAGCCTCCTACATCTCATCCCTGTGGTCAGACCCCGCCCTTCGCCTTCTGCAGCCTTTCCTTGGCCTCCAGGGCGGTTTCCATCTCCATCTCCGCCTCCTGCGTCTGAGTGACCACTGCTCCCGCGTCCCTTCGGATGAGCCCTTGGGAGGCGCTTATGATTTCTGCTTGGCTCTTGGACGGAACCATGTCCTTTCAGGTCCACACTGTGCGCCCCCAGCATCTCCACAGGACACGCTTCAGGGATCCCCAGGAGACAGCGTGGGGCCTCCAGCCCGCCCCATTCTGTGCGCCAAGGGCTTCCAGTAGCTCTGGGGGACCCCAGGAACTGCCCACAGACAAAATGCTCCTGTAGCAGCCAGGTCCCCTGGGGAAAATCCTCCCAAACACGGTCCCACCATCTCCAAACGCCCTCTGTGCTGACACAGATGCTGCACCATCACTGCGCTCACACACCTTCCTCAGCGCTTGCGGCCTCGCGGCCACGTTCTCACAGGGTTTCTGTTCTGCTCTTTCTCCTCCATGGAGGCAACACGTCTGAACCCACCAGCGCTGCCCTCTGGGAGCAGTGCCACCCGGGTCATGGGATCCGCAGTCACCATGTCCTCGCAAACCTCAAAGCCTCCAAAGCACTGAGACCCCTGAGGTGCCGCCTGTCCCTCACCGCCAGGCTGGGGTCCAGCAGCAGCGGCCTGAGGTGGAGGGCGCAGGGGTCCAGGCCACCAGGTCCCCCAGTTCCAGGAGCACCAGCTGCTGCTGCACTAGGCCAGCCCCCTGCACATGCGCTAGGGACCTGGGCGCTGGGGGCTGGAGCTTTTCCTGTAGCTTCTGCCTCCTCTTGCTCAGTGCCCTTCTCTCCTTCTGCCAACTGGGCCTGACCATCTCCTGGAGGGAGAACTGAGGTCCCTTGAAGCGCTTGGTCCTGCTCTGGCCCATGGCAACGTGAGGACTGAGAGGGGACAGTGGTGGTGTAACTGTGGCAACAGCCCAGCTGGTGGCAGGGACTTGAGGAGGTAGAGGTTCATGGGGCAGCTCACCTGGGACTGGGACTGCAGGGGCCACAGGGAAAGCAGCGCGTAGGTGCCAGGGAGGAGGCCATAGTTTTCTCTGTAGAAGTTCTTGGGAGATTGAAACCACACAAGTCCCTGAAAGCAGAATTCCTCCCCCTCCCCCC